GAGGATATAGGTAGGGAAGGGGTACATGGGTAGGTGGTTAAGGGAGCGTGGTGGCAGTGTGGGCACTGGGGCACTACAGGGCACTGGGGCACTACTGGGCACTACTGGGCACTGGGGCACTACTGGGCACTGGGGCACTACTGGGCACTGGGGCACTACTGGGCACTGGGGCACTACTAGGCACTACTGGGCACTGGGGCACTACAGGGCACTGGGGCACTACAGGGCACTGGGGTACTACTAGGCACTGGGGCACTACTAGGCACTGGGGCACTACTAGGCACTGGGGCACTACTGGGCACTGGGGCACTACAGGGCCAGTGCCAGGCACCAGGGCACACACCGCCAGCACCCACTAACACGATCGAACACGTTAAAGCTATTAGACTGATAACAAGGCCGGTTGGTGGGTTAGCTTGCTGGACAGTGTAGTGGTGGTGTGTGGTGGTGGTGTGTGGTGGTGGTGTGTAGTGGTGGTGGGGTGTGGTGGTGGTGGGGTGTGGTGGTGGTGGGGTGTGGTGGTGGTTTGGTGTGGTGGTGTGTGGTGGTGGTGGGGTGTGGTGGTGGTGTGTGGTGATGGGGTGTGGTGGTGGTGGGGTGTGGTGGTGGTGTGTGGTGGTGGTGTGTGGTGGTGGGGTGTGGTGGTGGGGTGTGGTGGTGTGGTGGTGGGGTGTGGTGGTGGTGGTGGTTGGGTGTGGTGGTGGGGTGTGGTGGTGGGGTGTGGTGGTGGGGTGGTGGTGGGGTGTGGTGGTGGTTTGGTGTGGTGGTGGTTGGTTGTGTTTATTTTTTTTTTATTATTATTATTTTCTGCCACAGACGTGGCCAGGCATTTACAATGCTAACCAGCATATAAACATTTTCTTCTGTCCTCCATGGACAGGGTGAGAGAAGTGTTAAACATATAGTTCAAGGGTTTATTGAACACTCAACCACAGAAGGTGATTCGGTGCTTTTAAAATACTAAGCTAACCTACATACGTAAATACATAGATACACAGATTTACGTATGCCCTACATAAAGTGTTCGATGTGTCTTTTACATAGTGTCATTAATGTGCATTTACAAAGGTGAAATGTAATTCTGATCAGCTTCCATATATACTTTATATACATACACACACACATGCATTCACATACATTTGTCTCTTTTACTCTGACAGGGTGAGATAGCTGATAGAGAAACTAGTGTGCAATTAAGCACTTAATCACTGAAGGTGATTAAGGTGCTTTTACAAGCTCAGGTTATATAGTTACATCACATACATACATTGTATAACTGATATATTACATGGTTAATCCTGGGTACAAGTCCAATATATAATCAAGTGTTCCAGTACTCATATAGTAATTACACAGTTCAGCATACCTTAGCACAGGAGGGCGAAAGTTGTGTGTAGTAGTGGGTGATGGTGTGTGGTGGTGGGGTGTAGAGGTGGGGTGTAGAGGTGTGGTGTAGAGGTGTGGTGTAGTGGTGGGGTGTAGTGGTGGGGTGTAGTGGTGGAGTGTAGTGGTGGGGTGTAGTGGTGGAGTGTAGTGGTGGGGTGTAGTGGTGTGTGGTGGTGTGTGGTGGTGGGGTGTAGAGGTGGGGTGTAGAGGTGTGGTGTAGTGGTGGGTGTAGTGGTGGGGTGTAGTGGTGGGGTGTAGAGGTGGGGTGTAGTGGTGGGTGTAGTGGTGGGGTGTAGTGGTGGTGTGTGGTGGTGTGTGGTGGTGTGTGGTGGTGTGTGGTGGTGTGTAGTGGTGGGGTGTAGTGGTGGGGTGTAGTGGTGGGGTGTAGTGGTGGGGTGTAGTGGTGGAGTGTAGTGGTGGGGTGTAGTGTATAATGGTGTGATGTAGTGTAGTGAGGAGGAGTAAATAGTTACACACGAAGGAGTAAGCAGAGAAATAAGAGTGTGATAGGCAGAGATCAGAGAAATATATAAGCAAAGAGAGAGAGAGAGAGAGAGAGAGAGAGAGAGAGAGAGAGAGAGAGAGAGAGAGAGAGAGAGAGAGAGAGAGAGAGAGAGAGAGAGAGAGAGAATGATAAAGACTGGGTGAAGTAAGAGGAGGAGGAAGAGAGGTCGTTAGGTCGAAGCTAAAAATACAGTGATGATAGTTCAAAGGTCAAATGTGGTCCAGTCCTCCGCTGTTGGTTCTGGTAGGTGGGGGTGGTAGGTGGGGAGTGGAGGTGGTAGGTGGGGTGTGGGGGTGGCAGGTGGGGTGTGGGGGTGGCAGGTGGAAGGGTGGCATGAAGGAACAGATGATCTTCCGGGTCGTCACCATGACAACATCTCGCGTCCTGCCTCACCCATTAATGTAGAAACGCGACGGTACGAACGCATGCACGCACACACACACACACACACACACACAAAATGCCTTTGACACAGTGCCACACCAGAGACTAATGCGAAAGCTGGAGATGCAGGGAGTGAAAGGGAAGGTACTCCATTGGATAAGGGAGTACCTAAACAATAGAAGACAGCGAGTCAGTGAGGGGTGACGTCTCAGATTGGCGAAACGTCAGAAGTGGAGTCCCCCAGGGGTCAGTCCTTGGACCTATACTGTTTCTGATATATGTAAATAATCTCCCAGAGGGAATATAATCGTTCCTCTCATTGTTGATGACGCAAAAAATTATGAGGAGGATCAAGACAGAGGAAGATAGTATGAGGCTACAAGATGACCTAGACAGACTGAATGAGTGATCCAACAAATGGCTATTAACGTTCAACCCGAGTAAATGCAAGGTAATGAAACTAGGCGGTGGAAACAGGAGGCCAGATACATGATACAGAATGGGAGATGAAGTACTTAATGAAACGGACAGATCTAGGAGTTGATATCACACCAAACCTGTCTCCTGAAGCCCACATAAAGAGAATAACGTCTGCGGCATATGCGAGGCTGGCTAACATCAGAACAGCGTTCAGGAACCTGTGTAAGGAATCATTCAGAATCTTGTACACCACATATGTAAGACCAATCCTGGAGTATGCGGACCCAGCATGGAGCCCGTACCTAGTCCCATTTCCATAACTTTACATTTGCTCGTGTTGAACTCAAGTAGCCATTTCTCTGACCATCTCTGCAACCTGTTCAAGTCCTCCCGGGGAGCCGGTCGGCTGAGCGGACAGCACGCGGCGAGAAACAATGGGCAGAGTTTCTTTCACCCTATGCCCCTGTTACCTAGCAGTAAAATAGGTACCCGGGTGTTAGTCAGCTGTCACGGGCTGCTTCCTGGGGATGGAGGCCTGGTCGAGGACCGGGCCGCAGGGACACTATAGCCCCGAAATCATCTCAAGATAACCTCTTGGAGGTCCCCCCCCACCACTGACGACTCACGTGGTCCTCCCCACCACTGACGACTCACGTGGTCCCCCCCCCCACCGCTGACGACCCACACGTCCATCCCCCCACCACTGACGACCCACACGTCCCTCCCCCCCCCCACCACTGACGACCCACACGTCCCCCCCCCCCACACCGCTGTTCACAGGTGTTCACCACACATATGTTTACATCTCTTGTGATGTATCAGTCATTGCCCCTTGGATATTCAGGTCATAGTTGCCTCAGGTGTGTCGGTACAGGTGTGGCGCTTGGTAGGTGTGTGGAGTTGGGTGGAGGGGTGCTGGGGGAGGGGGAGGGGGAGGGGTGCTGGGGGAGGGGTTCGAAGAGTGGGGGGGGGGAGTCAAGACTAGGATGAGTGAGATAAAGTGTGATAAAGATTGGTAACAGAGAAGGAATAGAGAAAGAAGATGAATGACGTGTGTGAAAGGTAACCCAGACCAGCCCCACCTTGGGAAGGTAGTTCCAGTGAGTACTCTCTCCCTCTCCAGTGAGTACTCTCCCTGAGTACTCTCTCTCCAGAGAGTACTCCCCCTGAGTACTCTCTCTCCCTCTCCAGTGAGTACTCTCCCTGAGTACTCTCTCTCCAGAGAGTACTCCCGAGTACTCTCCCTCTCCAGTGAGTACTCTCCCTGAGTACTCTCTCTCCAGAGAGTACTCCCCCTGAGTACTCTCTCTCCCTCTCCAGTGAGTACTCTCCCTGAGTACTCTCTCTCCAGAGAGTACTCCCCCTGAGTACTCTCTCTCCCTCTCCAGTGAGTACTCCTCCTCAGTATTCTCTCCCTCTCCAGTGAGTACACTCCCTGAGTACTCTCTCTCCAGAGAGTACTCTCTCTCCCTCTCCAGTGAGTACTCCTCCTGAGTACTCTCTCCCTCTCCAGTGAGTACTATACAATCTTTATATACAATCATTGTTAGTATACAATCATTGTTGGTATACAATCATTGTTGGTATACAATCTTCACTAATGTAACAATATAAATTAGCAACAAATAACAATGACAACTTTGAGTAGTCAGACTTGGAGGGGGGGGGGGAGGAAGGTAGGAAAGGGAGAAAAACGTAGGGTTAAAGGGGGGGGGGTGAGGTGAGGGAGAAGTAATAGGGAGGAGGAAGAGAAAGAGGAGGATAGGAAGAGAGGTGGTGAAAAGGGTTGAGTGGAGAATAGGAAGATTGGATGTTATGTCGACGAACACCTGAACACATTGTCAAAACCTCTTCCCCCCCCCCCTCTCTCACTACCGTAACACTATCCACCACTACTCCCACACTATCCAAGCACAAGGATAGACCCTTCAATTTATCTCATCATCTATCCTCAACTCAACCCCATCAAGGTAAAAATAAGAAAATAAACAATGAAAAGAAACAGTTGCAATATATTACAGAGAGAGAGAGAGAGAGAGAGAGAGAGAGAGAGAGAGAGAGAGAGAGAGAGAGAGAGAGATAAAGACAGAGACAGAGAGATAATAAATTACCAAACGAAAGTAACCTCACCTAACATCAACATGTATCAACAAATATTAATACACGCAACCATATGGCTACAGAACAGGTCGCCCTGCAACTGGTGCTAAATCAATCAATCAATCTCACTCCGAAATCTGTTCCTATTTGACGACTTAATCTTTACTTACGCTTAGGAGATGATCGAGACATAACTGGAGAGAAGATGAATGAAGATACGATATTCAACGATAAAGTGAATGAAAATACGATATTCAACGATAAAGTGAATGAAAATACGATATTCAACGATAAAGTGAATGAAAATACGATATTCAACGATAAAGTGAATGAAAATACGGTATTCAACGATAAAGTGAATGAAGATACGATATTCAACGATAAAGTGAATGAAAATACGATATTCAACGATAAAGTGAATGAAAATACGATATTCAACGATAAAGTGAATGAAAATACGACATTCAACGATAAAGTAAATGAAAATACGATATTCAACGATAAAGTGAATGAAAATACGATATTCAACGATAAAGTGAATGAAAATACGATATTCAACGATAAAGTGAATGAAAATACGATATTCAACGATAAAGTGAATGAAAATACGATATTCAACGATAAAGTGAATGAAGATACGATGTTCAACTATAAAGTGAATGAGAGAGAGAAGAAAGTGTTATCTCTCGAAAGCACAAATCTCCAAGGGCTGTGGTAAGGGTTCGAACCTACGGCCGGGGTGTTCCCATAACGCCATTCTCTCCTCTCCCTCTTATTCCTATCTTCGTCTCGTCTCCCTCCTTCGTCGCTTAACCTTTACACAACTGTTTCAACACTGAATTGCTGTTATTGAGGTCTTATTTAACATCTTAACAGAAAACGAGTAATCTCTAATTATAATTATCTGGATTATACTCAAGGAATCATTCTTGATTTACGCTAATTACTCTGAGATGGTGGTGGGTTGAAGTTCTTATATCTCCTTCTACCCTCTTCTCTTCCATTCCTTCCTTTCATCTCCCCCTCTTCGCCTCTCTTACCCTCTCATTCCCGTCTTCTTTCTTCCTTCTCGTCCTCCGCCTATTCTTCTTGCCCTATTGCTTCTCTCCTTATTCCCTCTTCTTGGTTATCTGTCTATTCGCTTTCTCCTCGCCACCATTCCGTTTCTTCCCCTCCCTTTCCCTCTCCCTTCCTCTTCCTTTCCGTCTTCCTTCCCAGAACACAAACACCACCACTAAAATATTCTTGCCTTCAGGAGGTAAACAAACATCTGTATCAGCTGATTCCCAGGATATGACGTCATCGTCCAAAACAAACGGAAGCCAGAATTAAGATGGCGGCCGACTGTCTGGCTGGCTAGCTGTCTAAGCCGGGGATGTATCCAGTGTGACACACACACACACACACACACACACACACAAAGGAAGCAGCTCGTAACAGCTGTCTAACTCCCAGGTACCTATTTACTGCTAGGTAACAGGGGCATCAAACTCTGCCCATTTGTCTCTGCCGGCTGCCGGGATCGAACCCTGGTCGCAAGGTCCACGAGTCTACAACGCTGTCCACTCAGCCAGCCAGCCCCCTGTGTGTGTGTGTGTGTGTGTGTGTGTGTGTGTGTGTGTGTGTGTGTGTGTGTGTGTGTGTGTGTGTGTGTGTGTGTGTGTGTGTGTGTGTGTGTGTACCAGAGCAACTACTGACCACCCCCAGGAAACATCCCACAACAGCGGTCCAACTCCCAGGTACCTATTTCCTCCACGATTACAGAAGCACGAGATGAAAGGAAACGCTGCCCAAACGTTTCTGCCCCGTCTAGACTCGAGTCCCGGTTTCTCGGCTGCGAATCGGAGACGTCCTCCGTTAGACCTCTGGTCTCCCTCCCCCCCCCCTCTGGTGCCCCACAAGGACCATGGCAGCAAGGCTGATCTCGCATAATGACGAGGACTGGGGGGGGGAGGGGTTGTTAAACAACAGTTACTTTTAAAGCACCATTAGTGCGCCGTGCCCAGCGCTCCCTAACAACAAAGCGCGCGCGCGCACAGACACACACATCGTAACTACTATGCAAGAGGTGCGGAAAAAAGTCACTTCCGGGTTAAGTCTCTCAATCACCTTGAGCGTGGATTTTTCAAGCAGAACAATGGGAACCAAGGCACCACCTGCTCTCGTCCCACTTGGAATGGCGTCCCCAGCTTCACCTTAAAAAAAATATATATATATACATATATATATATAAACAAAGGCAGCCTGGGAATTGTAAAGGCGTGGTGGTGGGGCATCACAGAAGCGGCTCACTGTTTACACTCAAGTTTCCTGTCTTGGTAAGATCACTAGGCTCCGAGCCACTTGCTGCCAGAGCCATGTCATCTTATATCATTTCCTCAAGCTATATTTGTACTTCCTTTGAGAGGTATATTCCTTCTCTTTTCCTACATTGGGGCCGGGAGGTTCTGGTTATGGAGGCGTAGTCAGCGGCATGGCATGCTTGCGTCACACGTGGCGACACCTACGCAATCGCTTGCCACCGGCTCTTGCCACATGTGGCTCCACGTTTATTTATCGCCCTTTATGCACCCATTCCCTCCACTCGAAGGATTTTGCAGGCTTTACTCAGTCATTAGAGAGATTTATGACGACGTCAGAGAGCATTTGATGACACTGGTAACTTATTATTAAAGCAAAGGAAAAATAACCGCTGTTAACCCGCCATGTTGTGTAATCAATAGCTGCTGACGTCATCTGTGACGCAGCAAGCCAGTGGTCCAATGACCGTACATGGTATCAACGTTTTCCTAAATATTTCCCTTAATTAACATTGCTTTCTATATCAAAACTTTTCACCGGTACCTAAATGTAATTATTAAGATTAGAAAAGCCTGGTGTTCAGTTAACATTGCCCAGAGAGGGTGAAAACCGACGCCGGTATTGGCCAAGATGGCGGCGTGTGGCACGGCAGGCAGTTCAAGTGAATGAATCTACGCCGCCAAAAAACGTGACCGTGAAAGGCCTTGAAGGTTAAGTCCAAAACAAAGGCACTATGAACGCTGTCATGCGCCTTACACCACTCTTGCAAGCGCCATAACAAACCACTAACAAACGCCATAATAAACACCATAACAAACCACTAACAAACACCATAACAAACCACTAACAAACGCCATAATAAACACCATAACAAAACACTAACAAACGTCATAATAAACCACTAACAAACACCATAATAAACACCATAACAAACACCATAACAAACCACTAACAAACACCATAATAAACCACTAACAAACACCATAACAAACCACTAACAAACCACTAACAAACACCATAATAAACCACTAACAAACGTCATAATAAACCACTAACAAACACCATAATAAACCACTAACAAACACCATAATAAACCACTAACAAACACCATAATAAACCACTAACAAACACCATAATAAACCACTAACAAACACCATAATAAACCACTAACAAACGTCATAATAAACCACTAACAAACACCATAATAAACCACTAACAAACGCCATAATAAACCACTAACAAACACCATAATAAACCACTAACAAACACCATAATAAACCACTAACAAACGCCATAATAAACCACTAACAAACACCATAATAAACCACTAACAAACACCATAATAAACCGCTAACAAACGTCACAATAAACCACCAACACCATAATAAACCACTAACAAACACCATAATAAACCACCAACAAACACCATAATAAACCACTAACAAACACCATAATAAACCACTAACAAACACCATAATAAACCACTAACAAACGTCACAATAAACCACTAACAAACACCATAATAAACCACTAACAAACACCATAATAAACCACTAACAAACATCATAATAAACCACTAACAAACACCATAATAAACCACTAACAAACGCCATAATAAACCACTAACAAACACCATAATAAACCATTAGCAAACACTATATAGTAATTCAATAGCAAACCTAACCCACTAGCAACTAGCGTAGTACTCCAACAATGAATGGTAATAATCCCCTAACAATCAAAGCAAACAATCCCCTAACAATCAAAGCAAACAATCCCCTAACAATCAAAGCAAACAATCCACTAGCAAAATCAGAAGCAATTTTCGCATCTAATGACACACTTCGTCACATATCTGACGAGACTGAACACGCAAACACCTACAAGAAATTTGAGACAAAACACGATACAACACACAACAAAATCAGACAGACGAGACATGTACTAACAACAACATACAACTTAAGAATTGTAAGGAACTTTTATTGACAGTTGTAGTGACAGAGTAATGGGGCCGGTACGTATACAGAATGACAGGTACGTGGGGGGGCGGGAATCGAAAAAATATTCGAACTATGTGAAAATTACTAATAAATGTTAAACAAATCTCCAACTTATCGGCTTCAGCGTCGTGAAAATTTCATCCCAATATTTTCATAAATTGATTTTAGATGATTTTTGTAAAGAAGAACGTTTTGTTGATGAGAACAGCTCCTATTAACTGGAACTGATGGATAATGGATTAATAAAGAGATGCAAGCACCAGTCTAACACACAAAGAAGAAGAATAGTAGTAAGAAGTGTCCACAAAGTGGATATGCAGCTGGTGCCTTTATAGCATTGCTGAGTAATACATAATAACACAAATAATAATGAGTATGATATTATGCTCTATTTTGTTATGTATCATATAAATACATTGCCCAATGTTAATATCTGTTACTTTCACCAATGTCCACAAACTTATTTTTTTAGGGGAGATTTTTTATCTTTTGTTTATTATCTGATTTTGTTGTAAACTTTACAACATGTAGAGTGAATACCCATCCTTAACTATGTAGAGATAGAATGTAATTGGTAAAAAAATAAATCAGCTACAACTGGCAGAACCTGGGACTTTTGAATTTTTTTTTTTGGAGGGGGGGGGGGTAATTTTGGGGTGGGGTAATTTTTTCACAGATTTCAAACTCTATTTTCTTTGTCTCTTTAGGTTGTTTTGATGATTAGGGGCCAGATTAGGGCTTTATCACTTATATAAACTATACATATATATCCCCTAAATCATTATAATTATCCCTATATATTTTTTCTTGACTTCATTTCAACACATATTGACCTACAACTTTCACATATTCAAAACGAATGTCAAACAATGTTTATTAAAACATGCAAGTAAATTAATGAATTAGAACTACCTTATTCCTTGTCGATAACTTCAACTTCAATTATCTCTAAAACTAGAGTTACAACTTTGAGTCGGCATTAAAAATCCAGTTTCTGACCGATTCTCACTATTTTTAGATATGGCCACAGCTGTCTGTTTTACAATCCTGTTTGATTGTTTTTTCATAAACCTTAAATGTTAGTTATAAATTGTTTGATTAAAATTTGGCGCATATTTCAAAAGCCATATTGACAATTTTTTTACAGCAAACTATACTGAATCCTATAATAATAACTAATAAAACTGAAGATCATATGCTCTTCTGAGAGCATGATAACACCAAATGAACAATTTGTGATATTTAATATTTTAGATACTCATTTGAAAATCTGAAATTATCAATACTTATTTATATAAGTATTTTTAATTTTCTTGTTTTTCATGTTACGTTGGTGATTATTTAGACAACGTTGGAGCATGTGCATAGTAGATTATGTACAAAAAAAATTGAAAGCGTTTGAGCAAGGTGCAAA